ATCAATTCTCAAATTGTATTTGTTTCCACAAGTCAAGAACTAATCCTGTTACTTATCTAAGTTGGCCATAATCTAACGATCTAATACATAGATTCAGGTTTATTGGTGCTACATACGTACTTCACATGCTCAAAGCATGTAATCGTGCGACGATTCCATATCACAACGTACATGATGGATTAAGTTGTAGAGTAATTCTCAATCTTATTCCATCCATGTGTCATTTTAGCTCATTCTGTTTCACTAAGTCTTGCTTAAATTGTTTGCTGCGTGATACGGTTGAAAGTCTCTTACTAGAGTCTTTCTTGTTTGACTTGGTATTTATCCTAGCTTATACTTAGTTCAGACTTTTACTTAGCTTTATACATATGGGTTGAAATTCTTTCAGAGTCCTTCATGTTCAACATGGTAAATTTCTTTACCCGTTTAAAAATTTAATTAAGTCTATACCATAGAACTTAATTCTCAATATGTACTAAGTATCTCCTTTTGCTTGGTCCATTGTCGAAAATACCTTCAAATCTAATCATTTAGCATTTGACATTTATTTCACAATAGAGTTCGTAATCTTCCCGTTGGACCTTTACTTTTTCTCCCACTAAACGTCTTATTCATCATAATTTTATGTTTCTCCATAAGCCAAAACTTTATGAGAAAACACGTTCCAATTCCTTTATGCAATGCTTCCTTTAATCCAATGACAGATTCCTTGAGCTTGCTTTCAAATCTAGCATTATTTAGATTTTCAAAAACCCTTGGAACATTTTTATAGTCACTTCAAAAATCCTATTTTAGGAAGGCGGTTTTGGTATCTATTTTGCTATATTTCATAAGTGCAATTTTGCTAGATCAATCACAAAAAGACTTAAGCATTCCGATTGGTGAATAGGTTAAAATCAACTCCGTGAATTTAATTATATCCTTTTCAACCAATCTAGATATTTATGCATATACATTTCCTTATTTGTTAGTTATCTCCTTGAAAACTTATTTGCAATTGATGGGTCTTTCACCCTTCATGCAAATTAACCAAGTTTCAAACATGATTTTCAAACATAGGATCTGTTTCGGATTTTCATGGACTCTAACCATTATTCGGAATTTTTTATTTGTCGTAGCTATTTTACAGGACATTATTCCTTTACTATGTAATAGTAAATAGTATGCTTGTAAGTGTTAGGTTTATTTCTAACTAAATAGAAAGTTTTAAGATTCAATCCAAGCCTTTGGTGAATTATATACCTATACGGGGCAATTGCATCAAACACTGAGTTTCAAGGCGCTTCCAAATCCTTTTATTATGTTGATCTTACTCTAATATTTCTGATTTTTTGTGAGTAATGAATTCTCTTTTAAGGCACTTGTAAATTCCTTTTGAGTCTTCTTGATCAAGCATTCCCAGTTCTAGTTTGTTGCTAAGCTCAATGGTCATCGATTTCATTTCCTCCCACTTGTCGTTTTGGAAATGTGTTACTTTCCAAAAAGACACCACTTAATTAGAGCAACAAACTTTATGTTCTCAATTAGGTTGTGGAGGCAATGCCCGTACTCTCACTTGAATACTTACAAAGAGACATGTATATTGTCTTTATTAAAAGTTCGTTGTGAAACAAACAATTAGCTTCCACTTGAGCTATCTTAGCCTTTAATGAGCCATTAAGCTCCCACTAAGCCACCTAGATTCACTTAGCCGATGAACTCCCATTGAGTCACTTAGCTCCCACTGAGCCAGTAAGCTCCCACTGAGACTAAGAGCCTTAGACATATACTTGAAAAGACGTTCAGAAGCTATTTCTACCCATAACTGAAGATGGTGTCCTTTCTTAGCTTCGACATTTTGTTTAGTGTTACATTAGTCATTTGTGCAAATCTTAAAGAACTTTATAGGAAGGGATGTGAACCATCATCGTTCGAGTCATTTCTAATGACATCGAGGTCTCCGTGAAGATATACTATGTTCTTTGTGGAGTTGTTTATGAAAATTTCAACTTCATAACTTTGTGATGGTCACACTTGGCTTATGCAAACATCGCTCGATCTAATCTTGACGTTTTGATATCTTGCCAAGTCGATTTATACTTCTTTGAATTCTTGAGCTTCCTTGGTCAGGTTTTTTCACATTTGATGAATATAACCATATTCTTTCAAATTCTTTGAGAAACATTGAAGTAAATGAATCCTCTTTAGCTTTCGGAGTCAATTATCTATACCAAGGAAAATAGCTCTTTACTTTGTCGATTTCAACAAGTAAGACTTGTTTGTCTTATAACAATTCCAAATCGATCAACTATCAAGAGCCTATCTAATAGAGCCTTGAGTATGTTCTTGTTGACGTGACATTGCTAAAGATGTTCGGAACGCAAATCATGCCCATGAATTTGAGCTTTTGCTAGTTTATCATATTAAGAAAATGCTTGTTAATAATCAAACATTCTCGACTAATAATTTAGATAACCATGCCATTCAAATAAATTTGCAAATATTGCTCATTGCTTTGAATGTGAGTCTTTCCATGTGTAAACGGATCAATTGCTGATTATGGAACATAATAATTACCCTTATTCGTTCCAGCCTTAGCTCAAGAGGTCTTTAAATAAAGCATGTAACCTTACAACTTATGTAGCACCACTTGCTTCATTCTAAGCTTGTAAGACAATCACTTAGCTTATCTTCAATGGTTTGAGGTCACTTTCAAAGTGGAACACTCAAGCAGTATCCGATACTTTGTGAAGATAACGAGTCGCTAAGTTAACTACAATAACATGAACTCTTTAGTAAAAATGGAATCTCATTCCTTTTCTTTGTTCCTTGTTTCCTATATTTCTTATCGTACTTTATCTCATAATCTTTAAGAACCATTTCTTTAAGAGTCTTCGAAATTTTATACTTTGTTAGGAATAATTAAGCACATAGTGCACTGTAAAACAAAGTTCCATCTTTCCTTTAATTCACACTTGAATTTCTACATCAATGAGTCCTACTCATCTATGTATTAAGCGAAAATATATTTTGGTTGTCAATATTGACAATTTGAGTTTGCAACTCAATACTTCATGTTTTATAGAAATTACCTAGTGTGTCATTTATGGCACTCATAGGGTAGTGTTTTAGGATGTTTTCACCTAATTTTTCTTGCTTTTCTTTTATCATTTTGGTCATTTCTCCTTTAGTTTCTCTATTTCTTCTTTCTTCGTGTTTTACTTTCTTGTATGTGGTTTTCTTCGTGTTTCTTCTTTTATATTGCTCTTTTTCTCTTCTATTTTCTCTCTTTGGTTACTTTTATAGATGCTTAAGGAGTTAGCTTCGCAAAGGAATCAAGAGGAGAAAAAAGAGCTAAGAAAGGATATTCAAGCCTCTTGGAGAGGGCTCGAAGAGGGCGCTCTGCATCTATTCATTGTCGCGGGCGCGAGTCCTAAGGCAGCGGGCGCGGATAAAGTGCATCAAGTTGGTGATTTTTGACAGGAACTCTCTGCGCCCTAGCCACGGTCTTGCCGCGGGCGCGGAGAATCTTGAGAGACCGCTCTAGTTGGAGATACCGCGACCCCCCTGTCTTCACTTGGAACAGGGCATCTGCCGCACCCTTAGCCGCGGGCGCGGGTGTCTTCGCCGCGGGCGCGGGTCTTGCCTAGATTGCCCGCGAAGTTAGTTATGGGTTCCGTACCCATTCCTCCGCGCCCGCGGGATCTTCTTTGAGAGGGCGCAACTGATCAATTTTTCTTCTTTGTCTATAAATACTCTTGTAAATCCTTTTGAAGACTAACTTTTAGATAATATTTCATATTCTTAGTTTTTAGAGAGAGAAACTAGAGAGAAGTTAGAGAGAAAGTAGAGATTATAATTCTAGAATTTGATTTGTATTTCAACATTGCTTCTTCAATCAAGTTTGGATTTCTTCTTCATATCAATGAAAGTTTGTGAGATTTCTTTCCTTTGAATTTACTTCAATTGCAATTTTCTTTAATGCTTGAATGTTTTGTTTGGATTTTAATTTAGTTTTGAGAATTTGTTGATTGATTGATTTTCCTTTTGATTTAGCTTGAAATGAATTTGTTTGTGATTGAATTTGTTTTGTCTTTCAATTTCACCATGACTAGTGAGTAGATTAGTTGCTAGGGAGAAGGGGAAGCATGCTTGATTAATGATTTTTGCTAGTTGATGATCATTGATTGATTGAATTGTTGCAATTAAATTGGTTGACATTGTTGTGCATGTGATTAATTAGACTAGGAGTGATCAACCTATAAGATTAATCTAGATTGCATTGCAAATTTCAATGACATGAACCCTTAATTTAAGAATTGCTTTAATTGATTGAATTTGATTGTGATTCACTACAAAAAAAATTACTTATAGAAGCAAGTAAAAAATGCCTCTAATAATAATGATGTTGCCTCTAATAACTTTTAGAGATAATTAATCAAGTGCCTCTAAAAATTCCGTCGCTAATTGATGGTTGACTCTAAAGCCTCTTTTAGAGGCAATACAATGCATTGCTTCTAAAAACCCGTATATTTAGAAGCAAGTATATAATCCTGCCCCTAAATATATTTGGAGGCAATTGTATAAACTTGCCCCTAAATATATTTGGAGGCAACCGTATAATCTTGCCCCTAAATATATTTAGAGGCATTATGAAAATTTGCTTCTCAATACCATATATATTTAGAGGCAACCTTATAATTTTGCCTCAAAATATATTTAGAGGCATTATATCTATTTTCTTTTATATACAAATATAATTAGATGCAATTTTGTATATTAATGCTAATGATATTTAGATGCAAATTAGAAATTTGACATAAAAGGTTTTTAGAGGCAAAAGAACATTGTATATGCCTCTAATATATTAATTCGAAATATATAGTAATTTATATTACAAGAATTTTTTGTCATGATAATTTTTGTTGTACATTTATAGGCAAAATCATTTTAAAAGATTTATCATCATGTCAATATAACATATGTAAAGCAAGTTGATTTCATTAAATCAAACAAAAATGACATTATTAATAATTTAATAGTCATTACATTATTGATCCAAAAATATGTATTTAAGTTACTAAACTACTTAACTTCAAAATAATTTAAAAAAAAATTGGATAATGTGAATACAAAAGAGTTTTCTATCTAAAACTATAAGCTTGAAAACAACATTATTTTCTTCAATTTCTTCCAATTCCATCTATAGCCATCTTCATTATATAATTTCCTGTCATTGAAAAGTATGAAATTAAATATTTGTTACAATGATGAAAAATAAGATTTAAATAAGTATAGATAACTAATTCATAAAATAAAAAAATGATAAAAACAAATGTAAATGTTCATAATTAAATGTTATCACATCCAAAGAAAGATTAAAAAATTTAGTTGACTAGAACTTACAATGAATGAAAATAAATGTTACTACTACTCTTCATCTACTTGAATTTCATCATCCTCTTCATCGTCATTCTCATTATCTTCCTCATCGTCATCCTCGTTATCCTTAACCTATATTTTCATAATTAGTATGCAATGACAAATAAAAACTATTTTTTAAATTTAATCCAATAATCATAAATAGTATTAAATAATGAAATATACCTCATCCATATTTATTTCAGACAAATCATAGCCTAGATGGTTCAATATATTCCCCATGAAATCTTTCATGACCTCCATTTCATTCTGAAGGCCTCTCATCTTTTTATTTAGGGCTTTATTTTTCACATTAGCTTCTTTTGCCTCTTGTTTAGCCTCTATTGCCTCATTCTTTGCTTCATCGGCTTCTTTGCGTAGCTTTTCTCTCCTTCACTAAATGTCCCATATAATGATGTAATAGAAGGGCTGACTCCCTTGCCACGATAACGACCACGTTTACCAATGGGCTTAACTTTTGCATAGATTTCTTCATCGGTCATGTCTATTTCTCCTGCCTCACGTTGCATAAGGAGATCTTTAATTTTTTACTGTATAAAAAAAAATTAAATGTAAGATTATACAAAAAGGGGAAAATCTAAAAACACTAATAATTACAAATGAAATCAATTAATCATATACTAGATTGATCCTATAGAGAGAATAAAGGCCACAAGTCTTTTTAACTAATAACAAATACAATGTATCTTTACTTCTACATAAATTTGGATAGAATTTCCCTTATAATATGACTGAAAACCAACTTTAATATAATCATTTCAACCTGCTGTCACACAATAAACATAAAACAACTCCAATATCATTTCATTCACAACACATATACCACCTCCACAATTAACTTTCAGAATACCTTTAATAATATAGGAATAAAAAATGAAAATACGATGAATTAAGTTATTAATAGGATTTGTTCATTAGCTTTTGTAATACAATATAGATATAGTATGATTTTTCAATATTAGTCTTACTACTACGTAAATTCTTACCATGGTTTCTTTTGCCACTTCAGTGATAGGTGCTTTATCACTTTTAGAATGAGTTTCCTCGTATAAATCCAACATGCTTAGCACTACTTTGTCACGATTGAACTGATATCATAAAAAAGTTACATCATAAAATTACTTTTTTTTGCACAAAAAAAAAAAGGAAAGAGTTTACCATGTCTTCGGCTTTTTGAGCAAAACTCTTTGTCCCAGCAGTGTGTCCAGCATCTTGGTAAGATCGATTGTCAGCATTTCTTTTACTTATGGCCTTTAAAATATGAAAAGTAATATATAATTAATGTCCAAAACTAAAAAAGAAAGAAAGAAATATATGATAACATATACCTTAAATTTTGTTGACCCAAAATATTCAACAAGCCATTTCCAGTCATTTTCATCAACATTTGGAGGCATATTTTCCACTTTAAGTCGATCTTCATCTGTACCAACTGTATCATAATAAGTATTTTTCAATCTTGCGCGATAATTCCTATACTTCTTATCCAAAGATTCCATGATAAACTTTATTCTTTCTTTTAAATTCTTTTCACGTCCCTTTTCATCCTCAAGTCCTATATCAAATTTTTCCTTTACAATACATAGAAATGTAGTTATTAGTGCTAAAAAAAAAAAATTGCAAGAAAAACATAATCTATTTGTATCAAGGTATAAAATTAAAAAAAAAAAATACCAGAACAAGTTGCCACATCTTCTCCTTATTTTCTTTCGAAATTTGTGAAAATACTTTCACATCATAAAGTGGAGCGTTAAGTGGATCTCGTACAAGAGCACCACAATAATTTGCCAAACAAGCCCTATTCACACCAATCGGCTGACCTTTAATGTTAAAATCCACTTTTTTTTCTCACCAGGTCTCATTTTTACCATTTGAAGATTTCTTGTAGGGCCTCTAGGATTGTTAGTCTTATAAGTTTTTCTCTTTTTTTTAATTCCTGTTTCGGATGAAAACAATGGGACCTTGTCGAAGGTCCGATGAAGTGGTGAAGACTGGATTCGGTCCAAGTGATGTTGGGCCGAAGGTTTCCTGCACAGCAAACACACGTAAACTAGCCTCGGGGGTGTTGCTGAGGAAGGCCCCTCCGATGCTAAAGTCAGCACAATGTGTAGAGAGAGAAAGCTATGCAAGAGAATTAATTGCTTGAGGCTTTTGTGAAAATCCCCGTACAAATGTGATATTGATGGCTTTTATACCTTTGCATATATGGGGGATGTGGGCCTTGGCCCAATTGACTTGCCTTGTGGACTGATCTTGACTTTAGCACAATTGGAGAGTTGAACCTTGATCTTGGGCTTTTAATTGGATCATTTAATGTCTAGGCCCAATTGGACTAAATTGGACCCAAACAACTTGCCCCCCAAACCCGATTTGGAAGGATGACGGGTCGGGTTTGATTAATCAGAAAAGGAGGGAAGCAAATGATTTAATTAATCCAAAAAATTTGAATTTAAACCGTAATTAATGAAATAACGACGCTTGGGTGAATAATTGTGGAAGTTGGACGAATAATGGGCGGTTTAATCACGAGATCGTGTGTTAAACGGTTACTTAGTGGGGTGTTTAAGAGAAATTGAAGAGCTGACTCCCAGAATTCCCATTTCTGGAGATATAATCAAAGGCGCGTCATCTCTCCTCACTTCTTCACCGACACAAACCCAGAATTCTCGAGAAAAACCAAGAACCCGCGTCAAAACTTTGCAAATTTCCCGAGTATTAAGCTTAGAAACTGAAATTCGCCGCCACCAACTTGTAAATCCGCAACTTCCGCTTCAGATTGAGGTAATTTCCTTTGATTTTAGTTTATTTTTCTTCGAATTCGAACTCTTTCCCCCTTTTTTCGACTTTTTCTTCGAAACTCACCCATGGTGAGAGGAGTTAGAGGTAGGGCCCGTGCTCCAAGAAGAGCAAGGCCGATTCCCGATCCTAGAAACAGGACTGGGACCTGGAATGGACAGAGAGCAGAGTCTGACCCTGCTGAAGGGATTAGGGCGACTCCCATTTCTTCGGCTCCTCCTCAGGGAACGGAGGGGCCGAGCGTTTCTGGGCGGGACGATGAAGTTCCCGCCATCCTTTGGGATATCCTCCTTGGATTTTAAGAATGGGAGGATGCTGAAGCAGCTTCGACCATGATAAAGAATTGTCCCTACTCGTGGTGGGTAGAGAATGCTGAATTACAGTATCGGTTTGCCGAGCAGATTGAATTGCATTACGGCATCCTTGAAGCTGATGGGTATTGGTGCCGAATGCCTGTGGCATCCGATAGAATACATCCTCCACCCCCGGGCTATGTGGGGGTGTACACAAGACAACTTCAGTATGGGCTGAGGTTCCCTTTGGATGTATTCGTCCGTGACTTGCTGATCCACTATAATATTTCCCTATGTCAGCTAACTCCTGTCAGCATCCGAAGGGTGATGACATACTTGTGGGTCTGTAAGTTCTTCAGATATGTGTCGAATCTGCACTGGTTCAAAAAGCTCCATCGGCTGGTGCCAAACATTCAAAGCGGGCACGGAGATCATGGTCCTGGGTGGTACCGGATTGAATCCCGGCCCCAGTACCTAACAATGTGGCCGAACGACTCCTCAGACAAGGACTGGAGGGGTCAATGGATTTGGGTTAGGGCGCCCACGGACCCGGGCCATCCTTACGTCTTCAGCGCTCCTAGGTATCTTGCTGAGCCTGATCCCGAAATGGGAAGCTTAGGTCCCCCCGAAAATAACGGCTCAGATCCGAACCTTAACCAACAAAATATCTTCGGCAAGCTGCCGAACAGAGGGGGCAGCGGCCGAATGAAGCATATCCCGGAGACTTGGCTCCCCGATACGCATTATGTCTTTCAAGAGAAAATGTTAGCAGTTGTCGGCCTTAGCAGAAAGTTTAGGGATGGTAAGCTTCTTCGGCTGGGGCCGAGGCCTTTTAATTATCTCTTTTTCTCTGTTTTTTCTTCGCACTTTTCTGCTGAGCCGATCCAGCTGAACTAATCTTTGTTCTCTTCTTTTTCAGAGCGAGACGAGACTAACGTCGACATTAACTACAATCGTCTCGGCGTCAACCGAGAAAGAGTTGTAATTGATCGGGCCCCTTCTATCACTGAATCGAAGCACAGGGAAGTTCATCTAGATCACTCCCATTTCCAAATTGAGGTTGTTGCTCTATATCAGAAGCAGAAGCCTTGGTGGAAGAAGAGGGATCCCTGGTTTCAGCTGTTAGACGAAGAAGCTGAAGCTGCCCGTACAGCCGAAGAGGTTGCACGGGTTATTAAAGCTTGTGAAGGAGGGAAAGGTCCTCCAGGGGCTGCTGAAGAAGAAGCTGCAGCTAGGGCAGCTGAAGAAGACGAGGTGCTGAAGACCTCGGTGAGCTCTTTGGACTTTGTTGTTTGTTGTTTTTTTTCTTTTTGTTTTTACATTCTTCATGCCCCCCTGTCTTTTGCAGTCTGAAGAGAGTGAAAGACAGAGAGAAGAGAAAGCCCCTGCTCGTCCCGAAGATCAAGTGCAGGAAGAGTCTGAAGAGTCAGACATGGACGGGCAGCCTCTTCACAAAAGGAGACGAAGGATGGCCATCATCGGACCGCATGACTTTCAGAGGAGGCCGATGACCATTGGCATCGAGATAAGAGAACCCGAGGAAGGCGGTGGATCGCCGAGGGTTCCTCGGCCACCACCTCAATCACCACCGAAGACCCCTCCGCCACCCCCCGAGATGGAGGTGGATCAGAAAACTCCCGATCCTAAGGGAAGGGTCCAAGAGGAGATTTAGGATAGTGCTGCCGAGCACGGAACTGGGGATGTTGTGATGCCCGATGCTGAGGGTTTCACAGCTGACATTGCAAGAGAGGTTGAGGCTTTCGTCCTCACACCTGAAGAAGAAGCAGAAGTCATAATAATTGACTCTGCTGAGAAGAAGGAGGATGCTGAGCCATCTAAGACTCAGGAAGCTCCATCGTCATCCTTTCCTTCTTTCCAGACGCTGCAGTCTGGAGAAATGGGCTTCTCGGCCCCCCGAATGCCATATCCATATCACATCTGGGACCTCATATGGGGCCAGAACCGAGAAGGTGATGCAGCCTACTTCGGCGATTTTGCTGGCATGTCCGAGGTAGATAGGGCGAGGATTTGGTCGCTGAAGGCCACTGCTGGGATGGGCGAATCTAACAGATCAGTTCAAGACCCAGCCAGGTCTAACCAACTGCTGATGATGCAGGTAAATCTCCTTGCCTTTTATCTCTTTTTCAATTCAGCTCTTCAGTTCAGTTTTTTTTTTTTTTTTTTTTTTTTTTTTTTTTTTTTTTTTTTTTTGCTGACTTGTGCTCCTGTTTCCAGTTCGTGCACAATCAGACTCTCACTGTAGAGCTGATAGATACCCTACAAGATAGGGTGGATGCCGCTGAAGATGACAAGAAAGTGGCTGAGGAGGAGCTGAAGCTTGCTAAGCTGAAGCAAGCAGCGGCTGAAGAGAAGCAGCAGAAGGGTGAAGAGTATGAAAAGAAAGTTGCTTAAGCCCTTCAGACCTTCTGCGATGCTTTGGAGAAGGAAGTTTTCCCCCCACTGATGGAAGGGGAAAAATTCCTTCAGGAGCACATGGGAGTGGATATCTCAAAATTCAAAGCTGCCATTGGGAGCCGAATCCAAGAAGGAGCTGCTGCACAAGCTGAAGTGCAGCAAAAGCTGGAAGCTCTTGAAGCCAGTAGGATGGATGTTGAAGAGTTGCTCCAAGCTCGAAATGTCCAACTCTCAGAGGCTGCTACTGCTGCTGAAGCTCAGAGAGCTAAGCTCCAAGAGGCTGAGGATCAGCTGAAGGCTAAAGAAGACAAGCTGAACCTGACTCAGACTGAAGCTTCCCAAGTTCAGCAGCAGATGAACGAGCAGAAAGAGTCCTCCTCCAAGCTCGCTGATGAGCTGAAGACATCTAAGGAAGACTTGGAGGAGACAAAGAAGAGGTTGGCTGATGCTGAGGCTCTACTCACGGTCCGTATCTATACCCAAGAAGAGTATGAAATGGGTTTCAGAAACGGGTTCAGAGTGTGCCGAAGAGTCTGCCTACATGATGAGCCGAAGCTGGATTGGTCCAAATGTGCTGAATGGACCCTCACATGAAGTATGCGACTCCAATCGAAGCTGAAATCCTTGAGGCTGAGGAAGCCGAAGAAGAAGCTGAAAGAAAGGAGTTGGAGGCTGAACGGACGGAAAGGGAGGCTCAGCAGAGTGCAAAGCCTGCCTCTTCTGCTGCTGGGACTGAGGCCACCGTGGGACCTAGTAATGCTGATCAGTCTGATCCTCGGGCTGAAGCATAGGAACTCGGGCAGTCGTCTTAAAAATCTTGCGGTTCATCATGCGCTCAACTTTAGACTTGCCGCTTTCTGAATTTTTTTGCCTTGTTTTTTTGCTTCAGCTTGCCTTGTCGTACAAAATGATTTTCTTGTTTTATATATGTACCTCGGCAGCAGTAATTTTCCGCTTGTAGGCGGCTGCCGATGTTTTAATATGCTCTTTAAACATTTGAACTTGTAGCTCACTTTCTGAGCAATACTCTCATCAATCTGATGCTTTTTCTTCAATTGCTTTATCTTATTTTGAATGCTTTACCATTTCTGAACTTGAGAAACTTCGCAAGAGTTCACTAAATACAAAGCTTTCGGCTTGAAGAATTCTGTTGAAGATAAACTTGTACTGACAGTGTGTCTTGCCTCCCCCAAGAATCTGAAGACTCAAGTCTTTGGATTGCTGAGTTGGGATTTGTTTCTAACTGTTGTTGTTATCCTTGATTTTCTGTCTATCTTTAAAAATGGATATCTGAAACACAAGGCCAACTGAAGGCGATGTTTCAGATAATGGCTTTCTGGGATACAAGGCTCAGTTAAGGCAATATCCCAGAACTGTCCATGGACTCATGTCTTTGGAGAACAAGTCTTACTGAAGTTTGACTTCAGCTGAAAGACCAGAGGTTCTTTAAAAAGACGAGTTTGTCAGCAATCTGAAACCTAGTTACC